CGTCAGGCAGCCGTGCCAGTGCTCACCATGTTCTGCCTCATTCGCTCCTGCTATTCATGCTTTCCGCAAAAGAAAATATCATGTTCACCAAAAGAAAAACGCAGCGTCACTTTTGCCAGCGTTCATGGAGGCAGAAATGCCACAAACGAGCCACCTCAAGGGGACCGGCGCGTTGCAGCAGGCGGCCCGAACACGGCCGTGAGCGCGCTCCAGTCCACGATGATGTGGAGAAATGACCACGCGAGGAACATCAGCGGATGCACGTGACGCCTCGATGAAGACCTCGGCTTCATGTGGCTGATTTATCTCCGCTTTGCGTAGACGGTTTAGATTTTTGAATACAGCCAAATGAATTGTGTTTTGTTTTGGCTTTTTATCCACAGGGCGCAAACACAGCTTAGTAACTGCTCACTTATGGTGGTTTAATAGAAGATGTGGAAACTTAAATACTGGAGAAACACCTGGCCGTTACGGTTAGTTGCTCGAGCACTTCTGCCAATCCGATGGTCCTACTGTTCATCGGATAAAGATTTCCTCTGCAATCTTTTATTTTGGATCAATATATTTAAATCACAGAAGAAGACAAGATCATCAATCTTTATTCATTTTGTAAGACAGCTGCACCATTATGTAACAGAGTTATTTGATCAGGCGCTTCCACCCATACATTATTTGGGTGGTACTTAATTTGATGGCATTGAACTAGGCTTGTAAATAAAAGCTTTTAGGCCATTTAACAATTGGCAGCTGGCCACAGCTGGCCTGAGGGAAACGGCTTTGCCACCCCAGACAGAAAGACAAACAGTTGGGAAGCAATGATACATTATTATCATTATCATTGATAGATAAAGGAATTGGCCGTTCTATTAACCGCCGCGTGAGCGATATTTCTACTTCCGGTTGAGTGTCTCTCTGTCTGTGACAGCACCCTGATTACCAAACGCTTATTAAAAGTGCCAGACTGAATCCCTGTATAATCAATTCGTCTCCTTGTCTGCCCCTTGTTAGGTGGCAAATCTGTTCTCTTACCCCCAACACCACATTATTAGTGAGAGAATCAACAAGCCACTTCGACACAGAGCAGATTTAATTGGATGCTGCACAGAGCATTATCATGCCCGTTGCCTAGCAATGCAACCCGTGTTGCCAGTATCGCCGTCTTTCTGCGTGTTTTTTTTTTCTTCTCGCGAAATGGCATCTATAATTACTTTGCAATTACTGCCTTTTTCCCCCTAAAAAAGGAGTTTGCGTCTTGCAGCAGACAGCTTCCTGCCTCGCGGGGGCTCTTTCTTACGTCACGTGTTGTGAAGGGGCCCCCCGTGGGCCAACCGTGAGCCTGAACTGCAGATAGATGCACTGTGGGTGAATACGGCACTGGAGGAACGATAAGCACACCTCCCGTTGTCGTTGGCCTCTGTTGCTCGCGGCCGCTTTGAGGGCCGTGGAAGCGGCCGCTCACATCAGTGTATCGCTGAGATCTCAACCTACTGGCGGTCCTGCTGAAGCGCTTTTCCTGCTAATTAGTTGTCACGGCGGTGAGGAGTACCCACAACAGGACGACTTTGTCTATAAAGCCGGCTCGATGCTTAATGATGTCTTTGCCTGCATGGTGCAAAGTAAAGAAAGCAGTCTACTGTAAAAACTTTATTTACACCGTAGGTGCTAACAATTAGACCAGCGAAATGTTGAAGACGTGCTTTACGCTCCCGGTGGATATGTGCAAAGCCACAGCCAATTCTCTCACCTTATGTTTTATCCACCCTGTTGTCCCGTCTTTGCTTACACTCCAGATTGTGTACGTATTATCGACGAGCAACATTCATCGAAGGAGCTAAGGGGGCGCAATCCAACTTCCTTGAGGAGACCTGAAATCCCTCAATGTGCGAGTAGGGAGACAAAACAAATGGCAAAACAGCCCTAACGCAAAGCTGCTGTGAATGTGTCACAGTTAAAGACGCCGGCTGCAGGGGTGCGATAATAAAAAAAGAGATTATGAGCCCTGTGCGCCTCGCCGTCGCCAGGTCGGCTGGCTGGAGAGTACAATGAGCGGGCTAAATGAGGCCTTGACACCGGCCAGGAAATAATTCCAGACTCTTTTTCCCTCCCTGGCAGTGCTGATGGAGGGAGGCCAGCCAATACACTACCATGGGTATGTTTACAGCGATGACATTGGACTGAAATTAGAGTGGGGACAAGGCCATGACACAGCCCTCAGCCTCCTCGGACGCCGCTGACAAAGTAGCTCCCTGTATTACTGTACCGGTGAGGTGAGAGACGGGGAACTTCCCCAAAAGGGAAACCTTGTTCAAAATGAGGCACGGTGTCTCATCATTAAGATTCATTAGCAGTCTTAGTTCGGCGATTGAATGTTTAGTAGACCTATTTAGTCCCGTTGCTCTACACTCATTTGAAAAAATCCTGATAACGCCCCTCCAGTATCTGCCGGGCCCTTTATGATGCCTCCGCTCAATTCAAATAAGATTTATTCATTTCTATCATTTTCTCGTTTGTGCAATTTGCACTTATTTTTCACAGTAACTCCACTGTAGTTGTCTTAATTAAGATGTTTAAGATTAACGTGTATTTATTCATTCATTTTATATTCATAAATATTAAACTATTTGAAGGCATATCTAATCACTCTGCGCCAGTGGAATTAATCCAATAAAACACACTGTATGTTTACCGGCTCACAGAAGTTCCCACAGGTAGTGATGTTCTGTGTTTGCCTGCTTATACTCTTCTTTTCTTCCCTTTTAAAAGCTATGATTGAACGTTTAGATCATCAGGACCTACGCTGGAGGAGAGACGTTGCCCCATAGAACCTTTACAAACCTCATCGTCTTTTGACGGTCTACATGGTCTTTTTCAGGCTTTGGCTTGTGGCAGTAGCTTATTAAGGGGCATTACAACAATAACATTAAATTCAGCTGAAACACGCTCACGTGCACAAACAGGCTTAGAAGGGCACGCTTCGGTCTGGCTATGCGGACGGAGCACACAGGGAGAGAGCTACTTCTCTCCACTACATCTTCACCTGGCAAATGGGCTGTTCGCCCCCCTGTTAATGTCCTGAATGTTACCCTGAAGTCACTCTCTCCCTGCAGACTGTGAGCTGAGCCACGCAAGGAGGACGCTGGATCTGAACCCAACTGAACACACTTGGGAAGTCACAAGCATTTAAAGATCACTGCCATCACTTCTGTGCAAAACAAAGAGTGAAAGACGTGTTGACACGCAGACTGAGGACGACAACAGAATGGGTTTTCAGGTAAACAAAATATTGCTACCAGAATATATTTAAGTCCTTCACAAAAAAAATCCATTGACTATTTCCTAATACCTCAGCAGATTAAATATTAATTATTATCTGCTCCGGTTAAACTGTGACAGCCCTGGGAATGAAACCACACAGCACAAGAAGATACCTGCTGCGAGTATGACACGACTAAATCCTCTCTGATTACCTTAAACACGAGGATTAGTTTGCAGAGGAAAAAAAAAAAGAAATCCCCCCCATAAGTCTAAGTGACAGCGCTGCACTTGGTGGCCTGAAGGACAGGAGGCAGATGCTGTAAAACAAGGAGGAGGGATTTCTCCAATCACTGGTGAAGAAAATGACTAACTTGAAAATTGGTGGCTGTGAACGGATGTTTTGGTCCCTTGCCTGGTTCCTGGAGTTTCCCCCGGAGGAAAAACGCGTGGAAGACAATGTCTGTGAGTTCCCAACTGAACAATCTCTACAGCTTATTCGTTTTTAAGAAATGTCCCAAACGAGAACAGAAGAAGGCATCGGTCTGGAGAGAAGCCGTCAACCAGGCAGGATCTGAAAATGTATTACTACCCTTCTACATTCAGCATATCTTCTAACAAAGGGATCCCGTGGATAGCACGTCCCCGGCGACTCACAACAAGCAACAAGACACTGACGTCTGCCAATCTAAGGAGGGTTTTCATGTGACATGGACTCTTCGAATGTGTGAGGAAAAGGAAACTGGGAAGAAACACACACACAGACGTATAATTCTGAGCCTTTTTGGAGGCCCTGAATGGAGTCCTCTTTCTAGGAGGGATCTGCCTTTGTGATTAAACCATCCTGTTTGGAACGGCACTGTGTAAAACGATGTGTTGACTGCTAATAGAGCACCTGAAATACTAAAGTGACAACGAGTAAGTAGCACTTTACTGTACGTAGTTTGGTGTAGAAGTTGTTGACCCCCTCCAAAAGGTCACAAATCACAAACAAATCTGTTTGTGATTTGATTCGGGGCAGAGGAAAGAAGACAGTTGGGAAAAAATAACAACTCACAGACATGTCAAAGATAACGAGAGGCACAAACTGGACGCCACTATTTTGTAAGGGGTGACAAGCCGTAGAAGATTTGGGACGTCTAGATTTTTCTAAAAAGGTAGCCAAAAATAAAGTTTAGTAAAGCTCAAGTTTCTTAAAATTTCTGCAATTAAATGTACTGGATGAGTTTCCACCACGGCACAACGGGACCATATTGATCGGCTACAACGTGCACAATTACTCCCCGTTTCAAGGTCTCAATCCAGATAGTTTCTTGTGTTCACATTAATGGCACGTATTGATTCATCAAGAGAAACACTGAACAAATTACAACAACGCTGAAGGGATTTAAGTTGTAGTTCTATCGTGGCACAATGCGCCGTCAACACAGAGGGGTTTAGCAGAGGTGAATATCGTTGGTTTGCTAGCAGTGGTCATTTATAAACTCAGTGTTGTGAAATAGCTTTATAGAAAACATAAAACATGTGCTGAATGTTTAATCCCAGACAATTATACGTGGTTGACTTTGTAATGACTCCCGAGTGGTTTGAATAAATTCTCGATAGGATGCTTACTGTCTCTTCCCTTAATCATCCTAAAATCATCTGTTAATAAAATCAGGAGGTTTGCTTCACCGGAGAGTATGCATTTTACATTTCTCACTTTCTCACTCATCTCATACATAACGCTCAAACATCACTTGACTCACCAGCGGTGAAGTCCCTGTTGAGGTCAATGAAGGCGTTGGAGTGAGGGCTGCGCATGTCGACAGATGAGCTCAGCGCTTTCTCCCACCGCTGAACCCTGAAGGGGAGGAAATCCCACAAGGCGACAACAGGATTTAAAGCTGCACATTTCAGTTAGACATTGGCAACTCAAAGTGAGATTGGGAATGATTACATTACCTTTTGGTGAGGTAGCACACTTCGGTGAATAGGGGCGGTACGGAATCGGTGACTCCGAAGATGTCCGGGATCATGTCCCCGTTGAAACTGTGGGAAGAGTTCCACTATTTTAAAACTTGAGGCAACAGCCTTTCACGTTCACGATGAATAAACTTGTTGACACTGTCTGACTGGCGTAGATCCATTTCTTTGGCGTTATAATCTATTGCATCATTTAAAGTATTCCAAATATGTTTCCCACATTCATTTGCATTGATTTTGCGACGGCATAATTTAAAATACAGTTGTGTACAGTTTTATTTGATTGGACATGAGTATCTAACGAACTGGTAAGAATGGCACGTTCATCAGAGACTGGATATATAATAATAAAAGATGAATAAAACATATGCATTGACATGCAACAGTATTTTAGAACTTGATTGAACATTCAAATCAAAACATAAGACACATGACTTTTTCTGCATGCGGAATCATGAGCAAAATGTCCACATTAGAATGAACTAAGCGGCACTCAGGCTGACACTTACTCCATAACAAGAGGTTGATCCGTAAAGTTCTTGTTCAGCATGAGCTTCCCACTCAGATCTGCAAGAAGAAAAGTTTCAACAAACCCAAACAGTGTAGAACATCAGTGCGCAGGTCAAAACAGGCTAAACCGTTTTGACTTGGTTTGAATGTCAACAGATCATTTTAATAAAATTTAAGATTTATTTATAGACAAAAGATTTATTGATTTGGGCACATGATGAAATCTTATTTTAAGAAATGATTTCTTTTTCGTTTTTAGAGCACGTCTTCTGGCAAAAGGGGCCCATCAGGAAGGTACAAATTTGATCAAACATTTCATATAAAACCGTGACTTTTACGCAGCATCTTTATATACTGTTTAGTCTTGGTACAGTTTTTTTCTTAATAACGCTATTAGTCAGCAGGAAAATGAAGGCTATAAGTGCCACTAAAAAATAATGAAATGTACTTACTATTTAAACTTTGTAATTGATATGTTTGCTTAATAAGACCACAGTTTATTTCCCTAACTGTTAAACCCTTCACCCGCCCGCCCTCAGCACCCTGCACCGCTGAAGCTCTACCTAATGTCTGGTTGTTGCCCCAGAAGATGAACACATTGGTCATCTTGGAGTTCTGGATCGTTGTGGTGAGGAGGACATCCATCTGGGAGTCTCCATCGTAGTCCCCAGGAACCACGCTGGTGATGACGGCGTCCCTGCAACAGGGAGAATGGCGTTTAAAGGGAGAGATGTCGACAGGGTGGGGCTGTTCCCTCATAGAGAGTCAACATTGCCCCCCCCCCCGAGACGTGAGTCACCTCCTCGGTGCTGACAGGGGGGGGAAATCAGGACATGTGACGTGGTGCAAACAGAAACGGACCCGTATGTGGCACGTACCTGGGGAAGATGTCCTTCGTGATGTTAACTTTGGGCTTGAAGTAAGGAATTTTCGAGTCAGCCAAGAATATCACCAGCTCAGACTCTGAAACAGTAGAGTCAGAATAAGCAGGTCCTTCCGGTCAGAGCTCATTTACGCTTAATTACCAACGTCACGTCAAAGAAATACAACTTAGCGAAAGACTTGTTAGCACGCAGGGATGTCAAGACAGATTATGAAGACATATACAGTAGTACAGCTGCAAATATCCTATACATACAACACTATAGGTAACATGTGCGAGTGGTTAAGTAGCATAGAGGACAGAAGGCACAGTAACGTCAGTGAACGTACGCCCTCTGATAATGAAGATGTCCGTCTGCTTATCCGCGTAAAAGTCTCCAAACGCCGCCACAGTCCCGTAATTTTCGGCACCGAAAAGGTCGGCCGTTACATCTTGAAGAGCAAACGCGCCGTACTGTCCCACAAAAAGCCACAAAAATGCCCAAATATTGAGTTTGAACATCCACATCCTTCTTCTCGTGCAGGTACAGTTCCTCACAACAACAATGGCTGCGTTACGGCACGCCGCTTTACGGCACGGCGAAATCCAAGCTTCGCTCGATTAACGTCAAATAACGCTATCGGTTAAATGCTCGTTTAACATGTTTCTGTCCGTTCGGCGGCATGTGTTGTTTTGGAAAGGGGTGGATGTAATGCGCCGAGTAAGGGTCGCGTTACACGATGCGATGTGAGGGTTTCCTCGTTTACGACAGTGTCGTTCGACGCGTAGTTCGAAAGTTGAAAACGGCATCAAGCTAGAAAAGGTTAACAAGAGCCCAGCCGGAAGTGGAAAAAGAACTTCAAAATAATTACAAATATCAAGCTCACAAGAAAGTAACGTGAACACATTTAAACAAATTAATATCATGATCCAAAGACATGCTCTGGGGATCAGGTTAATTGGGGACTTTAAATTGCCCGTAGGTGTGTGAATGTGAGTGCGAATGGTTGTATGTCTCTGTGTAGCCCTGCGATTGGCTGGCGACCAATCCAGGGTGTACCCTGTCTATCGCCCGAAGTTGGCTGGGATGGACTCCAGCCCCCCCGCGACCCTGTGTGCAGGATAAGCGGTTTGACAATGGATGGATGGATGGATGGATAATATCATGATAATTGACATGACATTCATTTGTTTTACTGTCATAAATGTATATATTCAAAGGCCACTTTGAATTTGTTTACTTCCGGAGCCTTGCTGTCTTCATTTTATTCTGAAGGATGACAGCGGAAATCGTTTAATATTCTGGCAACTTGGACACTTTGTAAACATGGCGAGCATTGCAGACGTCGGCTGGAAGCTCTTGGAATTCAAAGCCCGATCAAAACGATCAGGTCAGAATCCGCACTTCGCATGACACCGTGCGGCGTAACGCGCCCGATCGTTTCCGCCGCGCCGGTGCTTGAGCGAGACTGTCCGTCTGCTATCACACTGTGCACGGGAACAACAGCGGCCCGATTTGACCATTTCACTTGTCCACCACAACAGTGACGGTAGAAGCGTGAAAGGTCAGAGGTGCAAATGCGCAGCAGCCGTGGACTATTTTAAGAGCCTTTGGCCAGGTCTCCCCGGGCTGTCCCATGTCCCCCCGACGCGGGGTGCAGGTTGTGAGTGCTGGGGCCTGTGGTGGAAGCTGGTATTCAGCATGAGGAAAAGTTACCACGTGAGAAAACTTAACGGAGGTTATCAATGCGAGGGTTACCAAAAGAATAACTGATAAATATAAAAACCTCCAGAACAACTGTAGAATAGCTGACAAAATGACATTATGAAGGCTTTCCAAACTCACTCATAGACACGGTACCACAACACTGATGGTGTGCTCACTTAGTCTGTGTCTACCTTCTCGGCTATCATAATTCTGTTTTGGTGTGCTAAAACAAACATTCACAACAATCTATCTCCATAAATCATCTTGCATTGTCATAATAACTGCTGTCGTTTGGGTATTCTGTATGTGTCAGAGTGAGCTTTGCTGAAGTTCTTCTCATAATTACATTGCCTCATACAGCACTTCTTCTTGCCTCTGCATAAGGGTCAAAATAGTTGGCTAAGCAAATACAATGCATTGTAATTCCTTGCTTGCTGTTCCCGATCTTCATCCAGCAGGGTGTAATTCATTGTTGAGTTCATGCATGTTTAAAACAAAATCTAACTTCTGTGCTACTAACTCCTTCCTGTGTATTGCTGTAGATTTGTGATTTAGCTGAGAGAGACGGTTGGCCTTAATTTCACCTTTTGAGAATGGCCGCTTCAGTGGCCGCGAGTGCCCGGCCTCATCGGAAAGTGCACAGAGTTGGTGAGTAGTTGCGGCACAACCGAAGAAAACAATGTAGCCGGCCAGTGTACAGAACACGCAGAAATATATTTCATATCCAAACTTTAGAAGGTTATTGTACCGTACATCTTGATTAGGTGGCAGACGTCTACGTAAATAGCACTGCTTAATTGTTTTGTGATCACAAGCAACCAAAAAAATAATATTGTCTAATAGTCTTATATTGGTTTAGCCGTAAGAATAATCTCTGTGTTCCTCCCCAGTAAACATGCAGACCCAGAAGGGACACCAAATAAATGTACAGCATTAATCATGTCATACGACATTCTGCATCCATAATAGTGTCAGAGGGCGGCATCTCCAAAGTTAATCATGGGACTGTTCAAAACCAGCCGAATACCAACAGTTGTCTGATCCCATGTTAGAAATTAAAATAGGAATATTAGACCTCCTTTATACTCTGAGGGTGTTATCTTTAAAAAGAGATGGATTGTCTTTGTCCCCTGCAATTTTTAAGCTGATGGAAATTATGCTAATTTCATCCAGAATTTGAATTTTTCAGTACCTGTGGTATTGACCCAAGGTCGAACCTATTAAAATGCAAATCTCACTGGAGTCTAACAGATGGGGGTTTTCCTTAAACGACAACCTTTCAATCTTTAGCTTGTGGCCTTGGTATTGTTTTGTGTGCTGAGCCCTTTTTAATGTGATGCTTTGCAGTGAGAAACAGAGTTTATTAATGGCTTGTGTCTATTGTGTTGCTTCCTATTTTCTTAATGAATTAATTGTGAGTAAGACTGCTGCTTGCAGACCTTTTTTTCAATCTACACATTCAAATATATGAAATAACTATTGTCTCAAGATTAAAAAAACATATCACTGAGTAACTCTAAGATGAAAATTTCTTATTTATTTAACCCCGTTACAGTTTAGTCGCGAACGCATAATGTTAACAAAGGTGACTTTTAATGTTTCGATGAAACAACAATGGCATTCTTTTTATACAAAATAGGCTGCAGGTCAGTATTTGTTACTGGAAAACTTTTTAAAAGTTTGTTTGTAAAAGATTTGTCCCTCCACAGCTTCCATCTATGAACCTCTTAAGCTGTCGAACCTCCAGCGCGACGACGAGCCCCTGTGGGAGAAGCTGGATCGCTACTACAATGCTGGTAAGTAACCGCTGTTCAGCTGGCAAGATAAAAAACGGTGTTGAGGGTTCGCTGGCGTCAAAGGAACAAAAACATTCACCCGGCAAAGAATTTAATTCCACTCCGCCTGGAGTGTTTGTTAGTGTGAGTTGGTTCACTTGATATTACAGAATATTTCTGTGACGCTGCTTTTTAAGTGGTTTGGTTTAAAAGAAATTACATTTGCTCATCGAACACACGTGCAAAAAAGCACATTCACACACACGCTAGTTATAATGTGAGCATTTACAAAGAAGATGATTACACATCCCTGAACTATGTACACAAAACTAGCATGTAGAGATGACTTATTAATGAATATTTACACATGTGTTGTTGTCAGTAACAGCGTATCAACGATCACTAACAGCATGAGGCGGTTTCATAGTAATGTAACAAAACATCAAACCGTTTTTCTAAAATGATTAGACATGACCAAATAGCCTCGGGTAGGTGAGCTCATTCTTAAATATTCTATGAATTCCCACATGCATATTTTGCTATCAAAGTCATGCCTTCCTCATTCAGAAAAGCTGCGTCTTTAAGGGAGCGAGGTGAGTGGTGTGTTGGATCTAAAGATGGATGTCGATGGCCTGACGAATAGCTGCTCCAGGTGATGATCCCAGCATGTGTAATCAGCGGAAGAGTCTCCAGCCGCACCACAGGAGATATAAATATACATTAGTGCTGATGACTCAATTACCTGCAGCTGTGACTGCAGCGCTGTGCCAGCCAGTGCCCCCCCCCCCCCCCCCCGCACCCCCCCAGGACCCAAAGGGAAGTCATGCCTGACTGCCACTCGGCTAAACATTCAGCATCCTCGCTTCAGGACCTGACCAAGACACCAGCTCCAAGATTCTTTTAAAAAGAAACCCGAAGGTTGTATAAGATGTTGCGGCCATTTCCACTCCACTTTAAACGGGAATCTGTTTCAAAAATTGGGGAATCGGAGAGAGCCGTTGAACCGGAAGACACAGTGAAACAAAACCATTTACGTCTTGACAGAATTTAACAGTTGTGGACATCGACACAAAGGAAGGATCGGATGCACAAGTTAGCGTGCAGAAGGCAGAGTTTGGCTCAGCGTGCAGAAGGCAGCGTCGCGCGCTCCCTCCGGCTCAGCGTGGCTGTTAGATTCCGGTAACACAGCTCAGGACGCTGCTCCCAAGGATCAGCGCTGATTTCTCCAACGCGGGCGTGACCCAAAAAGAAAACCTCAGGAGGTGCTCTTTAAAAAAAAAAACCTTCTATTTGTGTTCATTTTCAAGAGAAAGGCAGTGTGATCATACATTTTTGTCCACAGTTGTGTGTGTGTAGTTGAAGATATCGGATAAAAGTACCTTCATTTATGGTGACTAACTGTATTCAGTAGTAGAAGAAAGATCAGCCTTGGAGCTCTCTAGTGCTTCTCTGTCTAACATTTAAGGGAATGCTGAATATGCATAATGAATGGACTTTTCCTCGCAGTGACTTTGAACTCAGACATGTTAAAAATGTACCTAATTGGCATATTTCCACCTGGAATTTGCTAGAAGTGCAGCTGAAAGTACCTTCAGAACAAGACATGAAGGCCCTGCAGCGTTTTACAGCAACGGTAGAAAATCCTCTAGTAACCAGTGCTGGATCCGCAGACGGGACGCTTCAGGATCTGTGGGATTCAGATCGATCACGTTGTGTTTTCCCGAGGTGTCAGCGAGTGAGAACTGTATGGCAGGAATGTTAGAGGCAACTAAAAAAAAAGAGATTGGGGTAGAAAAAACGGCATTTACTGACACAAACCACACGAGGAACCTCAGCTTTGCTTTTGCAGTAAACAGTAAAGCGGAAGCTGACTTCCTCAAACCCAGATGTGGATTGAAGGCCTGTTCATGCGACGCACTACTTTTCTCACACAACCACACTTCTGCCGCTTTGTTGGTCGGCCCCGGCGAGGAGAGGGAGGCCGTGTGTGTGTGTGTGTGGTTGCTTGGTGCTCATTAGGCTGCGTGTGTTTGTGTTCTTACCAAAAAAGACAGAACACAATGAGTTAGTGTGCAACAGGTGTGGCCCTCAGTTTGGAACCGGATTCGAGCGCATCAGCGAGCGCAAGCGCGGCCTCCAGGCATCGGCCGCGTCGGAAAAACCCATAGCTGCGGCGGGAGGAAAGCCTCGGTCAGATCGCAGGATGCGGGGAAACACGCAGCGCTGAACACCGGGCTCGTTTAATTGTTGTGTTGGGCGGCGGGAAAAGCTCTCTTCTCCAATTCCAGCGGGGAACAAAGCCAACATTGTTATCGCCGGCACCCAGACCTGCCTGCCAATACACCTGCTTTCTTTCCCTTCCAGGGAGGAAAGGAGCTGGAGAGGGGTGAGGATGGGGGTGACAATTACCGATCGAACCACTTGCATTCTTCCTCCTTCCTCCTGCTTTTGTTGTGGCAAAGTCGCTCCTCAGCCAAATGAAGCACATGATGCTGTTGCGATAGGAGGAAAGTTCACCCCGTCTCTCGCTCGTTCGTGCTCTTTTGTTCCCTCGCCCCTCCACGGATCCCCCTGCTTGTGTGGCAATTTGGTCACACTCCATTGGCTCCTTCCTGATAATACTGGAGGCAGAAGGCCCCATCGCTCTGCCGTCTGGCTGCACCGATTAAGGGAAAGAGGAAACACGTTGTTGTTTTTCTCCGTATCATAGAGCCATTATGAGCTCCTTGTTTTTCATTTTGGTGTTCTTTCTTTCCATCTGCCTTTATTTGGGGGGGGGGGGGGGGGTCAAATTGTACCTCTATTCCTACTTCAGATGATCCAACTTTTGCAGCGTTTAGCCGGTGAAGGCTGAAACAAATCGGTTTCGGTAACAAATATTAATCTAAATATGCATATCACCCCATTGTCCTGATGTGTGCATTTGAATAGCTATGTTTTTATTTCAGAGACATTTTAGAAAAAAATAACAATCCACAGTAGCACCATGGTAAACGGCAAAAGGAGCAACACTGGAGTAAAAGACCAAAGCAGTTTATTTCAAATCAAACAATGTTACAATCTCATACTGCTCACGGTAAGAGACAAAACGTCTTGTAAATACTGTGCAACTCTGCGGATCGTATTTTTACTTGACATTTTAAAATACACTTTTCAACACAATCCATTTTGGAAATTGAATGTTGATCTACAATATATTAAGTCTCAGGAATATAAAATATTAGTGTTTCCTTCTAAAATAAGAACACATCCTCACTTTTACACTTTTACACTTATCATTTATTTACTGAAAATAAAATAGCAATACAATTACTTTAAAAACAAAAAGTTAATTTCTCTGCAAACAAGTGCAAATAACATCTCATGTCATCAATAGTACCTCCTGTCGCAGATGTCATGTTGCAGAAAATATTAGACGACGTCAGCAGAAGCAGAAACCAAAGTTATTATTGCGAGGGGGAACATCACAATTTGTGTATTTCCCTTTTTCCCCTGTAGCATCTGCTGTTGCCACTGCATTGAAACCATCTCCCCGTGTCCATCTTTCATCTCTTTGTTCATCTTTTTCCTTTTTAATACATCGCTCAGTAGTAGTTTTTTTTCTTCTTCTTATTTCTCATCATCTTCTCTCATTTTCTCCACCCTGTCGGTGCAGTGCAATGGCCCCATTGTAACGGAGCAGGCTGTGTGCGTCTGAGACATTAGCTGCTGATTTAGTGGGACATTAGCTTGATGGATGGCTCGGCAAAAAACTCCCAACAACAGTTGATTTGCATCCGGGGGAAACTTGGCAGTGTGAAGCTGAACAACGCCGTCGCTCGTGTGCTGCGTCTAATGGGGACGCAGCACAGCAGCAGCACTGTTCTGCAGAAGATGAAACCTTTGAGTCCTTCACGCTGAATGCTGGGCTTATTTTGTGAAACACGTTTGACATAAAAACATATGAGGACTTTTAAGCCTTAAAAGCAAATATAATTATTTTATCTGACTCGAGTTACTGCAAATGAGACATTTCTCCGATTTCTGAGGAGTGAAAAAATATGATAATTATGAATCTTTCCTCCAGGCTGTAGTTGATTTTTAAATGCTTAATTTATACAGTAACTGAATGGAACTGCTGATTATTCAGTTGCATTTCACAAATTCTTCGACAAAGCATCAAATAAGTTAACTGAATTTACATTTCCTTTTATTTTTCCTTTCTATTAATTTTCTCTATCTTTTTAACTTTGAACAGCATCAATGTTTTTAAATACTTATTTGACATTTAGACATTACTTTTCTTAGGGCATATTGCGCATCATGTGTTTGCATGTGGTCAGTTAAGCCTGAGCCAATGGCCAGGGTGCTTGACTGCTCACACACACACACGCTGTTTTTTTAGGTTAAAAAATGGATAGCATTTTTCGAGAAACTAATGTGTGACGTGTCTTTGTAGAGCGTGAAGAATGCAGAATGGATCTGTACCCAAAGGCACTGTCCTTTTACTAGTTAACAATCCAGATGCCTCTAATGTGTGTGTGTGTGTGTTCGCACATCATTGCTCTGCCATGCTGACACCGTAGATCTAGAATAGGAGTAGAACAGCTGTTCCCATTTAAATCGGTCTGAGTTGGGGCCATATGTAAGTTTAGCGTTGCCTTTGCAACCATTTAAACGGATCTAACTCATCCATCTAACTTCCATGTGAACCGACTTGTAGCAAATCACAGACTCACTCGTGCTGACATGACGTGCAAAACAACAGCGCCTAGTTTTTGTGTATGTGTGTGTGTATATGTGTGTGGGCCTTTTCACATGTGAAATTAGTTAATGTGAGAAGCTGAAGTCCCTGAGAGGTTTATTAATAATCTGCCTGATTCACCTCATCAACCTCTAAATCTCACTGCCGAAGGGGCCGTTGTCTTCAATTGACCGATATCCAACACACACACACACACACAAGTGAATGCGCCGATACAGGCCGACAATTGACGCCCCCGTCTCTCTCCCAGTGCCCGTCTCCGTTATCCTTTTTTCACTCAGAGAGTGTGTGTGTGTGTGTGTGTGTGTGTGTGTGTCTATCTGTCTTTCCGTCACTCCTGTCCCCCTCCGTCTCTCTCTCTGTCAGTCTCCTCCTCCCTGTCTCTCGTTCGCTGCGTAACCATCGACGGAGCAGAATGGATGTCCCCGTCATGTGCACCGCCACAATGTTCTGATGAAAAATGAAGTGATCCTTCCAGACAGATTAGTCATCAGTGAGGGGACCTCTGCAGGAGAGGAGTATGTAACTGTGTGTGTGTGTGTGTGTGTGTGTGTGTGTGTGTGTGTGTGTGTGTGTGTGTGTGTGTGTGTGTGTGTGTGTGTGTGTGTGTGTGTGTGTGTGTGTGTGTGTGTGTGGTTTTGAAACGGATAAATGACTTTCCCAGCGGGCATTCTGTTGTAATATTTCAGCATATATTATTGGAAAGTGCTAATCTGTTCGTATTCGGAGCTCTCATCCGTTGTTCTGACCTCGGTATCTAACGCTGAGCCTGAACTCTGTTGAACTCGAAACCGTCTTGGTTCATCTTTAACATTTAATACAGTCAAAACCCCCCCCGTTGAAATTTGTCTCTGAAGAAACGACCTTGGTCGTCACCAACTGCCGAGCTTCCCAGTCATCATGGTAACTGTAAAATAATGACTAGATTCAGCTCGCTGCCCTGTACAACGGGGTTTCCAACGCATGGTGCTGTCTGGTTTTCAGGCCTTAGACGTCTGCGGCAGCCTGCTTTTAAACCACAGTTGGTGTTGCAGTCTGTAATTGAAAAACAAGGTAGTAGTTGAATCATGTGACATTTAAAAGGACATTTCGAACCATAATACAAAATATGTATTTTTTCTCAGTGGTGCCATCTGTATTTGTGTTGTGTTGTGTCACCTTACTGATGCATTAAAAAAACTCAACAGAGCAGCTTCATTCAGGAACCATTTTCGCTCGAACATCGTTCCTCCATGAAAACCACAAACGTTCACCGGGTCATTTCTCAGAATCTCTATGGCCAATTGTTCGTAAGGGCAATTCACCATACAAATAAACAAAGAAGTATTGACTGGTGAATTATAATAATTTCTGCTGCTGTTGCGTCGCCACGGCGAGCCTGTTATCACAATGGCATCAGCCTCCAGCTCAAAGCGCCGCTATGTTCACCGCACGAGTGACAAAGCGTCAAAACTTCCCGGCTTCGTTGTCGCTGTGTTGCTCGAGCTCTCGTTGTCGCAGCTCATTGAATGGCACCGGGAGATGTCTAACAAGATGATGTCTTTGTTGGATATCTGTCTGAAAGGAACAGGACCAGGATGCAAGTATATGAGGATTGACACCGACCATCTATGTTTCAATAGCGCCTCGCGTCATTCCAACCACTTTTTGAATTTTAGTACGAATAGTTTGCCAGAGAGCGATCAGAGGTCGAGGTCAGCCCCGATAAGAACTGGAGAGAATGCAGGGTTTTGTCCAAAGTTACATTAACATGCTAACGCTAATCCTAGTTGATACCCAAATGAAAAAGAGGCCTGTATCTCCTGATCACACGCCACAAAGCAAGGGAGCTTAAACAACTCCATGTCTTAAATTCACTCGTCTGCACGTGCCCGACTCCCCCTGCAGACAAGTGGATCACAGACTTCCTGTCCGACAAGAAGCAGCACGTGAAGCTGGGGAAACATGTCTCAGCCTCACGGACCATCAGCACCGGTTCCCCTCAAGGCCGCGTTCTCTCCCCTCTGCTCTTCTCCCTGTACACCAACAGCTGCACCTCCAGCCACCAGTCCGTCAAGCCCCTGAAGTTTGCGGATGACACCACCCTCATTGGACTAATCTCTGGTGGGGACGAGTCCGCCTACAGGTGGGAGTCTGACCATCTGGTGACGTGGTGCAGCCAGAACAACCTGGAGCTCAACGCTCTGAAGACAGTGGAGATGGTTGTGGATTTCCGGAGGAACGGAGCCCCACCCTCCCCCATCACCCTGTGTGACTCCCCCATCACTATTGTGGACTCCTTCTGTTTCCTGGGCTCCATCATCACCCAGGACCTCAAGTGGGAGCTGAACATCAGCTCCATCACCAAGAAGGCTCAGCAGAGGTTGTTCTTCCTGAGGCAGCTGAAGAAACTCAACCTGCCAAAGACGATGATGGTCCACTTCTACACGGCCATCATGGAGTCCATCCTCTGCTCCTCCATCACCGTCTGGTACGCTGCAGCCACAGCCAAGGACAAGGGCAGGCTGCAGCGTGTCATCCGCTCTGCAATCTGCCGTCCCTCCTGGACTTGTTCGCTTCCAGGTCCCTGAAGCGAGCTAAAAAGATGGTAGCCGACCCCTCTCACCCCGGACAAAACCTGTTTGTGCCCCTTCCATCTGGCAGGAGGCTGAGGTCCATCAGGACTAAGACCTCCCGCCATACAACAGTTTCTTCCCGTCGGCAGTCGGGCTCATCAACAGAGCCGGTCCCCCACTGACTGACTATAACACTCCTCCGGTCACTCCCCCTCATACTGCACACGTCACTTTAACTTGTCACTTTTCACTCGTCACTTCCTGTTCGCTGGTGCACTTTATTTTTTTATTTTTTAACTTTTATTCTTTTATTTTAAACAAACTCATACTACTAACCCATAGCATTATATTGTATTTTATTCCTCATGCATGTTTTATTGTCGTACTGTCTGCTGTTACGCTCCAACCGCCAAGTCAAATTCCTTGTATGTCTGACATATTATGGCAATAAATGTTTCCTGATTCCTTATTCCTCTCAGCTGCACAATCTAAGTAACAATGGCACCCCGAGACCAAGTGAATATACTACAGGAATTGTTACTTTTCTTCACGCCCACAGAGGTTCACACTTTCCATTTCCCCGTTCACACTTGGTGGACTTGAATAGGCATCCATCTGTTATCACACTCGTATATGACAAAATAAGACAAACAAAGCTCCTCTCTAAGTGGCTTCACGTTTGTTTCCCAACATCCTTGAACGTTTGTTTTCCCATATCGAAGAAGATAAATTGTCTGCCAACCATCGTGGCCCGACCTGAACATAGTTAGATTGATTCGAGCTTCAATATGGACAGAATGTATTCAGAGAGGAGGTTGAAGTAGAGGCAACAGCTGCACCGCCTGAGGAAGGTCGCAGGTCGGGAATAAGCTGTGACCCTCCTGGAGGAGCTGGATAATAATTCTATTTCCGCCCTCCACAAACACACACTCTCCCGTAAGTAGAATACATAGACGCCTGTCATCCACTGCCTGGGACGACTTCTGGTCCGACTCATGCAGCAAAGCACACGTCTGCTCTGACACATGATCATCTTAAACCTGGATCCAAAGTAGAGGTTTGCATGTGTTTGATGGGAGTGATGCTGCTACAGAGGGTATAGGAGGCAAAACAAACCAGGGTCTTACCCAATGTGTGGGCGAGTGGAGCAGTTGTAGCTAGCATGTTGCGCGTTAGGCGTGTTTCCTTCACTGTGTGTGGGTGTGATTGGATAATACTAGCGTTGCAAGAGTTATCGCCTCACCAACACTTCTTCTTTTTCTTCCTCTTTGTCTCTTTCTATCCAGTCAAGACGACCATTCTCAACTACCAGAGTCCAACCACCGGACTTTTTCCGGTCAAAACATGCTCCACCTGCAAGGAGGCCAAGGTCCGGGACTCCCTGTACTGTGCTGCCAGTGCCTGGGCGCTGTCTATGGCTTACCGGTTAGTACACAAAGCACAATTTACACTCTCACATATCATCCATGGCGATTGGGCAGAGTTGAATGTACAGCAAATCAAGCTGCATCGCCAAACCAATCTGCGTTAACGATTTGGGATTAGGGATTTTGGACTGCCTTACTGGTCTCTAGGTCTTTGAAGCCATGCACTAATTGGTACACATAATAACCTACAAGAAGTACAAAAAAACCAAGTGATCACACTTTCAAATGTTGACCAAATTATTAAAAGTGTAAGGCTGAAAAGACCCGAAAAAAATAGATCTATATATAGATATGTATACGTATGTGTGTGTGTATATATAGATATATATGTGTATATATATATATATATAAATATATATATATGGATGTATACATTGTGTAAAAGTGACATTATAATGGATTGATAGATCACTTCTGGTGTTTTTCTAGAGCAGAGTCCTTAGTTACATGGTTTGCTTCTCCTTCTGTCTCCTCTGCTCATTGACCCTGATCTCTAATCTGCCTCTGCCATTTGAAGGCTTTGCTCTTTAAACACTTTTGAAATTGTTTGTTCAAGAAGAACACAAACTCCTTTATTAACCGCACATGCACTCTATGTGTGCATTTCATCCTTGATTAGTGGGGGAACGAGCAGAGAGAGAGGGGGGAGAAGGAGCGAGAGAGAGCGAGAGAGAGAGAAGTGATGAGATGGAGGTGAAGACAGAGGGAGAGGGGTAAAAATAGAGAGTACTGCAGTGATGGGACCAGCGGCAGATCTCAGTCATCAGTCATGGCTCCCTCCTATTAGAATTGTCACTGAGATTTAATTAAGATGATTCTCATCTGACAGGCTTGGCTAGTGCCATTACTTACTTCACGCCCAGCTGCTGTGTGTGTGTGTGTGTGTGTGTGTGTGTGTGTGTGTGTGTGTGTGTGTGTGTGTGTGTGTGTGTGTGTGTGTGTGTGTGTGTGTGTGTGTGGCACCTAAATTTGTCAGAAACTCCTACTCTAAGTAATCATGATAAGTTGCCACCACTACCTTGCACAGTCACATTTTTATTGTGTTTTGAAGAATTATTACTTTTTGATTTTGTTACATTTTATGTAACCATTTTTTTATGTAATGTTCAATAATAATATTTAATAATTCTTGACTGATCAATTTTACATTTTGGACTATTTTGCTTCCATATCGTCTTCTTTCAGATGTGTGGAAATAAAACATTCTAAACGTTTAGGTATTTATTCACAGAGCAAAAAATAGACTTAATGTAAGTATGCACTAGGGAGGTTTTATGGCTTAGTATCTTGTCTGAAGTACAAATCCTCATTTCAGAAGCGCTTACATCCACCAACCTTTCCAGTTACATTGCTATTGCTACATCTATATTCTGAATGTTTTTACAGCAGTTGGTCCAGGCATCACTCATTGGCTGATTGAAAAAAAACATAATGTTAATCTACTTAAACCATGATGAATAAGTTTATTACGGATATTTTTGTTGTAAATTCTCTGTTGTAAAATCCTGAAAATTTCAACAAAATTAAATAAGGAATTTAACTTTATCCAATGTTCAGTTTTCTGTCCTGAAAATGTCCTGAGATAAAGCCTTATTTGCGTATTTAAACATGCTTTTCTGGTAAATGTGTAGTAATCCTCTGTGGAAGTTCCACGGTGATATTTGTTAGTTGACATTTTTTTCCTTATTCCACCCGAACCTCGCCCCCTTTTTGGGGGGGGATAGGGGGGGGGATAATATTTTCTTTGGACCTTTCTGACCTCCGGGGCATCCCTGATTAATCTTAATTAAGTTTGAAGACCTGGGTGTGCTCCTGTACCGCCGGAGCAATTGTTGGGTCCCCTAATGCTCATCACAACTGTGGATACTTCTAGTCCGGTAACAAAGCTGCCCGCTGTATCGTTGTTCTTCCCTTTTGATTTGTGCGGGGGGGGGGGGGGGGGGTCACATCTAAAAGACACATGTGATTAACGCTGCGCTTACCACTGTAAGTCTCTCTGTCGATGCTCAAAGTCAATGTTACCATGACCTTTGCAATGTGCATCGGCGATCTGCCCGCCCCACTAAGAATATGCTGACTGGCGCTGTGCTCGCCGCAACCACAATCGATTTGACCTCTGGGCGGCATCCGGGCAATATTACTGTCTGGAAAGCACATTTATTTAGAGCGACCATGCTCACAATTTAGGATGATACTCGTGCGAGGAAAAACAAAACCAAAAAGCACATTGAATTTTAACCAACTGGTCAATGCTCCGGATGAACTGTTCAGGCCACGTTGTAACAAAAGAGTTGCTAGTTCGTTTCCTTTTGACAGTCACCAGGGTTGCTTTTACACTTGTAGTAAATGATTGCTTTGTGGTGCTCTTCTGATATGAGCCCACAACTACTTTTTTTAAATGAATAAGACGAGTCGACATCCAACGACAGCTCGTTCTGGCAACCGTCATACATCATCACAGCGCCGCATTGCTCCTTTGTTTATCCTCTAATGAAAAAAATACAGTATTATTATTTGAGACTTCCACTGGAGCTTGAATGTCATGAATAATGATGGACATGAAAAGAGTAATCGTGGGATTTCTTGCGTTTTTTTTTCGCCCCGTCTGACTTTGTTGAGCCGGTGATGTAATGTCGCCAAATCCCAGTGATTACATCGGTGACTAAAATATAAAGTTGAACAGCATCAATAACACCAGAGAAGCTGAATGAAGCAGAATGTGTTTTCTCCCTGTGCCCCTCATGTGTGTTCTCCCCGCTATGCAGACGCATCGACGACGATATGGGGCGAACGCATGAACTGGAGCATTCCGCTGTCAAGTGCATGAGAGGGATCCTCTACTGCTACATGAGACAGGCTGATAAGGTGAGCGCTGAGCCCCCCCCCACACACTCAGCTCCTGCTTTTAGGCTGAGTCGTTTGCGTGAAAGCACACCGCAATTACACAGCGTCCAGAGGTGCATTTCTGAGCTGGTATTCAGCATCCGGTTCCTCTTTCATGTCATAGCAAATGACAACTGGAGCCGGTTGCTTTTTCTCCTGTGGGCTCAATAACCGGCGTCCTGTTGATCACCAAAGACGTTTTTGGGGAACTTCCTGGCACGCCGCTGTCTGTCAATAGGAAACGGCCTTTTTAGGGAACCAATGCGGTTTTCTTTTCTTCACCAACAACATTTTGTAACCGAGCAGCTGGCCGTGCCGCTGTACACGCGTGTACATGCTTCACCCCGCCTCGACCTTGACGGCCTAATTTAGGAGAGAGCTTTCTACTGTCTTAATTACAAAGCTGTGTTTACACGGTTAATTACACAGCGTTCGTTACGGCCCCGTCTCCAACACTTACCAAGAACATGGCACTTTAATGGAGGCGTGACACAGGGGCCACTGCTGGGCAAATACCACACGGCAGAGCAGCAGCTGGGCCCGGCTGCCCGGCTGTGGCATCGTGGGTGTTGTTTAGGGACAAATGTTGCATCCTGAGATGCCTGGTCATTGGTTTGATGAGATGCAAGTTTTTTCTTTTGCATTAGCTCACACAGGTAGCTCCTCCCTCACTATCACCTCACTATCACCAGCAAAAGTGGGACGGAGGGTCTCCGCTCTGACCGGACAATGTGAGAGAGAGAAAGAGGTGGCCAGCGGCGAGAAAAGATACACAGAGAACAAGAGGGGCAACTAAGAAAAAAGGAGAGTAAGCAAAAGAAAATGCTGGAAGGAGACAGGTGGAACGGAGGTGGAAAGAAAGAAATGGAGACAGCTGGGGGGTGATATTTATAGCTGCGCAACAAACGGTGGCGCCGCTGTAATTTCAGGGGCCGGTCGCGTAGATGCAACAAACACACGGAGCCTGAAAGTATTCCCTGAATACAAAGCACAGACAACACCTGGTTCTGTTTTTTAGGACTTTATATATACATATATATATAATATGTATTGACTGTTTATTTTACACACTGTATGTGTCACTGCACACACTGCAATGTCACATTGGCATTAAAAGCTCTGCATGTAGTGCTATTGTTGGTTGTCATTTGTAAACATACCATTAAAAACGCTGACTGCCAACCGCAATACGGAATAGCTCCTCATGCACTCTCTGCTGCTAGTCTCCTATTTAAGATAAGAAGAAATACATGATGAATCCATTGTCAGTAAATGACTGAGGAAGTCTGTTGAAAGGAGTTAAATTGCCAATTGAGGCGTAATAGTGGTAAAAACGTGGTTGAGGAGCTCGACTCGGTATTAAATAAATAAACAAAACACTCATTGAGGCGCACAAGACATTAGCATGACCGTCCATTACCATGCATTAACTCCACGCGCCTGCTTCCTAATTCCGTGTTTTTGAACGTGCACCAGGCTGCTATTGTGGTGCGCTGCAGCCCTCTCTTACCTCCCCTCTGCCACCCGTGCGTCTCTCTACCAGGTGGAGCAGTTCAAACAGGATCCCAGCCCCTCCAAGTGCCTGCACTCAGTGTTCCACGTGGTCACCGGTGACGAGGTGCACTCCTACAGCGACTACCACCACCTGCAGGTCAGCCAGCGAGCACGCAGATGCAGGGATGAGTCGAACCCGCCGTTGAAAGGCTGAAATTGAAATGTTGTTTTGTTTTTTTGCACAATATGCATGTGCACATTATGTACGTTCGGGATTCATGCCGGACTGTCTGTCCAATTCAACGACATGTCCAGATGGGATATTTCAGACTCAGCCGTATATTCTGCTGTCCTCAGAGGAGGAAGGGGATTAAATGGGCACTAAAACAGCTTATTCTTCTGTCCATGGTATTGAGCGAGGTCTAATTGATGTAAGATTTGCATGGAGCCTTCCTGCCTCGTGGAGGGGCGGCTCCTACATCAAGTGAGCTCAATTGAGAATCTGAAATAGGATGTAGGGACAAGGTAAACTACCTAAACAAACAAAGCTGCATATTTGTTTAACGCTCCCTGTATACATATTTTGTCCTGGGTTGTGATTTATTGTCCAAAAACTTTGCACTGAAGTAAATTGCGTGATTGATGATAACGGCATAACGCCAAAGGCTTAATGGCTATTATGAAGCTCATGCCTCAGACTACGCTGCATAGGAAACTCACGACACCTGTATTGATAAGTCCCGAAATATTAGACAGCACACAAATGACAGTGATTCTTTTTTAATAGTCATCCACTCTGTCCTCCTCTCTGTCGTTGCTGCAGATCGATGCTGTGTCGCTGTTTCTGCTGTACCTGGTGGAGATGATCTGCTCCGGTCTGCAAATCATTTTCAACACCGATGAGGTAAACAAGGAGCTAAAAAGGACTGGTGAGGAAATCAATGCTGGACCCTGTGGCTTTACGCCCAGTCCTGGCCATCGCTTTGACGTTCCCTGGCCACTCCGCCAGCAGCCATCAGTGTTCATCTTGAGTGCCAAATAGTTAACTTCTCTTCTTCTCGCGACAATCCCGCATTGGGCAGAGAGCTTCTGCTGATATTAACTTTGAGTCTTTCATTATTTTATGCAAAACAGGTTAAACTGCACATAAAATAACCACTAACATTGTTTTACAATTTAACATTTACATTACTTCATTTTTGGGAGTTTTGTTTTGGGAGAACCATTCATTTGCATTTTGGTGATGAAATTCTTACAGGTTCACACAAAAATGCCCTCTAACATAAATTCTGGGACCTAATAAGGTTTATGAGTATTACATTGTGTGATGCTTCCCTTGCTGCTTTAAAGTTAGTGCAAGGGATTTCTGAAAGCAGCTCGATGTACCCTGAATCCCCACGATATCCTGCAGCCGGCGCAAATGCAGGATCAGGGGACAGTATCTCACTTTTATAGCTCCGCTCACATTTATGTTTTCTGCTGAGCCGCTCAATTGACTTTCAGCAGGGAAACGTTTACATGGTTTCAGCGTGGAGGCTTAAACGCCCCCCTGGGAATCGAACCGGTAGCGTCCTCTTTGGCTGCGCACCAATCCCGGCTATTACTGGAAAGCGCTGAATGGAGTTTGATGTATCTGTTCCGGTGGCAGTTTTTTGTCTTCTTTATGTTTGACTCTTAATAAAACAGTAGGGTGACGTGGTCGTTACGTTTACACGCCGGGCTGTTTCTTTGTGCGGCCCCGAGGACCGGTTGGAACTTCATTAATTCTGTTAGTTCTTATAGTCTGCTCATTTGCAGCTTTTACTTACCGCCACAGAGCGGGGAAATGTTTTGCCACCGGTAAAGGAATCCGTTTGTTTACTAAATTGGGTTTATCTTGAGGAAGTAAGGACATGGTAACTATGTTGCCACTGAGCAATTAGTGCGGGCATTCTTCACTTTGTTTACAGAAATACTCTTCCTTCTTTGCCCGTGTCTCACTGCTAATTGCAATGCTACTCTTATTAAGAGTACTATCTCTCAATGTGCATGTTTGAACACGGCTTATTAGGTTGAATAATTTAAACTGAGTTAGACTGCACCCCGCCTCCCTTTTATTATCCGACATTAGATGGAGTGAGCAAAAGGACCTTGTGTTGTCAACGCTGTTTGAAAAAGGTTTCCCTGTGGACTAACCGAACCGTTGCGGCGTTGTTTATCAGCTTGTTGTTTGCTGGCACAACTTGTGAAGTCCAGCGGCGTTTACCGGACTGAGCTGGAAGCTGCATTGCAGTATTTTATTTTACTTCCTTGATGTAGGTGGTAGAGAAAAGGCTGCTGCTCGTCCTCCGAGAAGATGCTCCATCTTCTCACCTTCCACCAGCCTTTTTCGGTGCAGAATGAAATGGAGCGTCTCACTAGCCTACTGTGCACCCCAGCCTGTATTATGCCCCCCCCCATAATACAGGTGCATGCATTATTTTGTTCCCCACTGTGGGAGTTCAGCGGGCAAAAGCAGCAGCAGCACAAGTAGTGTGCTTCTGCATTAGAGAGACGGGAGAGGCTTGTTTAGCCGGCGGGCAGTAACATTCATTAAGATACCATTAAGATACGGAAAAGTCCCCCTCGTTAATCACTCCGCTCATGAACGGCCGAGAAGAGAAGCAGCAAACCCTCCTCTCTCTCCTTGTCTGCTTTGCTCCCTTGTTCCCTGGCCTCCTTCACAGACTGGCCTAGTTAAGTCCTACACAGGTTGTGTCTCCTCCCCTCTCTCTCTCTCTCTCTCTCTCTCTTCTCTCTCTCTCTCTCTCTTGCATGCTCCCCCCTCCCTCCCCCAAATTTGTCCTCTTAGATTAAATCTCCCTTCAGTCAAGCACACACACACACACACAGACATACACACACATACACACACATGCACGTGCACTCTTTTTAACGATTCAGTGCCTTTAAGTCATTGCACGTTGCATGTCTCTCCCTTTTAGGTTATTTGTAGACTTGCCCATTGATTTTGACATGTCCCTCGTGGACACCAGGTCCTTCCAAACACGCGGCGCTCCTGATCACGTCTTTAAAACCGCGAGGCCACCGTTTTGTGTCTGTGATTGAATCAAGGGCGCTGCAGAATGAGTTTTTAGAGCCTGCCTGAAAGGGCGATGCGCCAATAATTCAAATTGAGCTATAAATTTATATGTGTCCATTTCAATGTTGCGTCACGGGCGGGAGAAGAGCCGGTGAAGCCGTGACCTTCCACGCTCGCAGTGCCTCGCTTACACCTTGTCTTCAGTCACGGGGACACTTTCACTTTGAAACGTCAGTGAGGAATCGGCTTTCTTGTCCACTTTTCTAACACTTAAACTAAGCGGGAGAGATTCTCACCTTTCCCCAGATCAATACCGAAGGTCGGCCATTACTAGTGAATGTGTACAGAGGTGTGAGATAGGATGTTAGTGCATGTGTAGCTGGAGCTGAAACTATTGCGTCTCTCAACATGGACACGTGTCTCTTCTTTCTGCTGCCGTGGATCCTGTCCTAGCGGGTGTGTCTGTATGTGTAAGATGCATTTCAACCCGTGTCTTCCTCTGTTTGATGTGTTTTGCGTGTCCAGGTCTCCTTCATCCAGAACCTGGTGTTCTGTGTGGAAAGAGCTTACAGGGTGCCTGACTTCGGCATGTGGGAGAGAGGCAGCAAATACAACAACGGCAGCACTGAGCTGCATTCCAGGTCAGTCGGAGGCCGGAGAACACAACAAGAACACGCGCAACAAACGCACTTAGTAGTGTTCCACTGTGAGCGTGTTACAAAGTGAGACACTACTGGGTTTTTACAGAACGTTCTTTGGTCCTATTTTGGGCCGTAAGCATGGGCAGAGTTTGAGATCAATGTAAACTGACGTCAAAGTAAATATCAAAAGGTGTTTAAGTGACCCACGGTTTTATTTCCTCCCCATTACCTTTGAGAAATGGATTCCCAGAATAGATTACACTGTGCCCTGAGTCTCTGTGATGCGATAAGGTGTTTGTTGAATTCTGAGGGCGGTGGGGGGGGGTCGCGCGGGTCTTTCTGTGTGTGTGTGAATGCTGTTGCCAGTGAAATGATATTGTAGTGCCTTCAACAAAGAGGAAGAGTAGGAAGAAGGACGTAATGAAACGCCGGGCGGGAAACAAAGGAATTGTGAGATAGAATTATGAAGGAATGAACAGAATCATTAGAATTATTTTGGTATTATTATTATTATTACTACACAGTATCTACTGCTGGAGCAAAACACATCTTCTCGATCCGAGTTATAAAGATACATTTAATTCTACTAAAGGATGGAGCAAAGTCTACAGAAAGTTAGGAATCCGATTTTAACAAACAATTGTTTACAGTTAAAGTGAAAATCTAAATCTTTAACATAATGGCAAATAGGATTTTTGGGGGCAATTTAGGGAAATTCAGCAGGCTGTGTTCACGTTTAACCTGAGTTAACTGTTAAGAAAAGAAGAATATATCCTTCTTCCTCAACCTCCACAGACTGACAGGTAGGGGGTTAAAACAGCCTCTTTACACCACAATTTATGGGAAATTTCTTTAAAAAAAGGAGTTAAAAGCCCACGTCATCTGACGCGGGGCGTTTGGGGTCAGTGTTTGAGTCTTGAAGCATTACCCCCCCACACACACCTCCCTGCAGTCTCCCCCAAATTCTGCCATCGTATCACTGAGAAGTCTCTTGTTTTTGGTTGTCTACTGTCTGTAACATGTCTACCGGCAGCAGCCAAGGAAACATAACAAGTCCGATGGCGCGAAGAAGCGCCGTGTCTCGCGCTTCTTGCGTCTCCTCCCCTCCAGGTCATGCTTGGGATTTCCACAATTAGCGAGCCGGCTGTAATACATGTAGTCGCGCGACACCAATTACCGAGCCGCATGCGTGAGCCGTATGCAGGGGCAGATTCAAAATGCTTCCGCGTAAACAAGATCTGTGTAAACGATCAAATTGAGCAGTCGTTCCTCGTCCCGCGGTGCCCGTGGGCAGAGAAGAGGAAAGGATGTGTTCGTTTGTCCACATCAAATCAAATGATTGCCTCCGCCGCGTGTTTACCATCACAGCCAGTCAAACGGCCCGAGTGTTTTATTTAAAGTGGCGTGTCTAATATTGGAAGCAGCTGGGTTTTTGCAACCTCTCCACTTCTGATGAGTTAAAATGTCATTTTATTAGATGTATAAAACGGACGGGACTGTTCTCAGGAGTTCACAAATGTTTAATCATTATTTATCGTTTGGGATAGTGACTTTTTACATGAATGCATTTGACTCATCTATATGGTGCAATTCTGAATGTTATTATACAGATGTCAAGGGGCTCCAATGGTCAATGCTGACTGGTTTGAACAGCTTAAGCATGGATTCAGATATTCAGCTATTACTGCATTAGAGATATTTTGGCCTTGTCTTTTAAGGGGGCCTTGTTTCAGAAAATTGTGACAAAATTAGCATTTGTATTAAAACTAAATACGCTGCGCTACCTTGAATTCTTGAAGAACACTTTTCTCGCACTCCTTCACGATAACAGTATTTTAAGGAAGCTGCGAAAAGAAGGCAGGCTGCCTTTAACACCAGCAAAAATCTTTGTATCTGTTTGTTGTGCCAACCGTCAACTGGTACAATTCATGCAGATTGAATTAATTATGTTTGACTAATGGATTAGAAAACCACAACTACAAAATCCTTTCACTAGCTTTTTCTTCTGATGCTTGTTATTTGCTGGAGTTCAGTTGTCATGACGATGAGTCAGTGGTCACGTGACCTACGAGTTTAACTCTGTGGTCTTATATTGATGTGAGTGGCGGTCCACTGACTGAACCAATTAACCCCATGTGACCTCCACTGAGGTCTGAGCTGCCGTGTGTAAACACCTTTATTTTTGTTTGTTCCCATTCCGGGGGCTGTAATAGAAGGGGGGGTGCACCAACCCATAGACACACAGGATCACACACACACACACACACACACACACACACTATATAATAAAACCATAACAAATACAATCGCAAACAGGTTTTAAAGAAAAATAAGTCAAGCGGAAATGACGTGATTCTGTCAATGGACGAGTAGCCGCAAAAAAGAGAAAGTGATAAGAGATGAATGAGATTGTGTTGTGCCAGCATGGACAGATGTGTAATAACAGCGTTATAACACTATTGAAAAAAACAAAAAGTGAAACGGTGAGGCAACATGTATGTACAATTAAATCCAAACAAAGAAGGTACGACCCATTGGGGTTGGTCCTTCAATGTTCCTCCACCCGAAACGAATACTAGCACCCCCCCGCACCTCCACCTCACCAACGTGTTTTGTCACGTCAGCAGAGCCACCGCCAGTTGTCGGCCAGTTCGCGTTGCAATTCTTTCCCTCCTCCTCCTCTGTTCTAGGGAAACCTTGGCAGGGCAGAAAGGGAACGGAACGGAACGACAGCGAAATTGATTCACGTTTAGTCTGCATCGCAATCACAGCAGCCCGGCAGTGTGAAATACAGGACAAGGTTTTTATTAAAGACATCCATTATTTACAGTGGACCATAATCACCGGACCCTTAAGCTCTATTGAGCCCTAACAGATAGCAGTTTGAGGTTTAAGTACAATTCTGAATGCTTTCTTTTGGCCTTTTGATGATTGAAGGACACTTATGGTTCCTATTACAGAACTGCATTTTTTTTCACTATGATTAAAAAAAGAAAAGGGAACTACTGTTTGCCGAGCGATAAATGATCACATGTCACTGGAATCGTATCAATATGAGAATCATTCACAATTATGTCCTCAAAAGGGATAATTGTAGCCCATATGTATAATTTAAAACAATTGGGAATACCTGAGTATAATCCACACAAAACCATGTGCTTATTTTATTTAGACAATTTGATTATTGGATTATCAGAAAAAGTGCAATGTAGTGATGAATATCGTTGCCGGAATAGAAGACGAAATAGTAAATCAATGTCAGTGAAACTAGCTCATCATGTCAAGTGATTTGCTGTGTTTCTTTTCTCTGCAGCTCCGTGGGTTTGGCTAAAGCGGCTCTGGAGGCCATCAATGGATTCAACCTGTTTGGAAACCAGGTATTTGAAGAGACGTGTATTTGAGTCTTTGCTCACCGTGTCCCTTGGCACAAGATGGCATTATAGATGGACAGTGTATTCTCTGAAGGTCCTCTGTGAGAAATGCTAGATGTTTGCATCCTACGAAGCCATAGGCGGATTCTCCAGCCGTCCACTGCATTGGACTATTCTTCTCATCAACACATCAGTTTTTCTCTTCTGATCAGCAACAAAATGAAGGGGGTTAATTGTGCCTGGAAATTGATTTTGTCATCAAGCTCGGCCTTTTGAAAAAAAAAAAAAAAATTTATAGAGGTAGCTGATGGATGGCCCGTGCTGTGTGGTGCCTTTGTAAGTGTATCATCCAGTCTGTTGACCCTCTATGGGAATGAAAGTGCTACAAGCCAGCTAGTTGCTTATTAATGATCTCTATCGATCTTGATTTCCCAGCTGGCTCTAATCCGTCCAGCCAGATGTAACTCCCCCCGACCCCGTTAACCGGAACATCCGGTACGGCCTGGACGCCGCTACCACATTTTACACCAGCTGCAGACTCTAGTGTTTGTGTGTCGCATTTAGCCTACTGTTCTTTTCTTTCTTTCTCTCTTTTTTTAACGCCCTCCCCCCCCCCGAGTTACACAAACTGATGCAAAGATAGCAGCTTCTCCCTCGGTCTGACGGATGGAACTCTCGCCAAGAGCAGGATCCTTTCTCTTTAAAGCCAGTCATCTAATCCACAGCGCTGTGTACACAAGGCTGGACAATCAAATCCTAACCGCTTCCACTTTCTATCTTGGGATTGTCACCTAATTCACACCCAGTCAAGAGCAGAATGTGATGGAGGGAACACACACCTAAATCAATCCAGCCGTCCTTTCTTTCGGGGGGGTTTCTCTCTTCGTATCTGGGAGAGAGCTTTTTTTTCTCTGCTGACATACATCTTGGAACTTAAATCACGTACATCAATGCATAGAAAGTCAAGTCAAATCATGGTCTTTGAAAGGGTTATTATAAAAACTACATACTACATTTATTTGTAACCGGTGCTTATAGCAGCGACTTGGATGGTTTTGCTTGAACTGGCCTTTAATCAACTTGTATTTTGCAGTCAGTTTTTTCTATTATAGAGGAATGTTGGTTAATTACACAGAGAAGTTCCAGAATTTAAGAGGAATTGTGGCATGTTATAGGAATAAAAGTAGAATATTGAATAAAATTGGTTTGTTTTTTTCGCAAGATTTTATCCGTTTATTAGTGTTAGATATTTCCTCTTAATCCAAGGTATATTTTTAAGGCAATTTATTATAGATGTGAGGCGCTGATACGTGTAATAATCATTCAAAACCATTCACTAACAGCTGTGGACATTGACCTCTTATCTCATCGCTGTGGGTTTGGGGCTAAGTGTCCACATTGAAGTAAACAAGAAGTACTCACTTATTATGTGATTATTAGTCTGCAAAGGTTTAAAGAAAAACACCATTGCCTTTTATATTTCATATACACATTTTTTATTCTCTTTAAATGGTCCGTTTCATGTGTACCACTTATGTACCATTTATGTCAATCATTTGGTCAAGGCTGATTATTTAATAACTCTGTGGAAAAATGTATTTTGTTGTCTGCTGTAACGCCCAAAGTGAAACAAATCACATATATTTATATGAATATATATGATTTTTTTCTTATATGTGGCGCTTTAAACTGCTCAGTTTTATTAAAAAGTAAATGTGTTAGCCCAGCAAATGAGAATATCCTCTTGGGCCTGTACGTTTCCCTGTCAAAGGCAAAATCAGTCATCTCTCACGCATGGTTTTCTTATACACTCAGCTGCTTCATCGCCAGACGAGGTTACATTCCACCAAACGTGTCACACAGCTGCCTACATCGGTGGCCAGCAATCCACTGCACGATGCAAATTTTGACAGGAAAGCGTGCTGATTTGACTAAAAGGCTTTTCTGGATCTGTTTTTTTTTTTTTTTTTTTAGAGGAATGAAAAGTAGACTGGCAATATTCATACATAATGCATTTGACTTGCATTAGAAACTGCTTAGCAGGTTGCGAGAGTGGCTGAGGTTGTTTTACGTAAGCGCTGCTGATGGATGGATGAAGTGAACTGGACCGGCCCTTTTTAGAACCAGTACGGTTTGATCGCTTTCCTTCCTTAAGTAAAAACATACAAACGGACCGTCCTCTCCAGCCCAGAGGTGTTTAAGTGCACCGCCTGGACAGACTGCATTGGAGTAGCAGCACTTCTGTTTGGTACTCTGGTACTTTTGAAGTGATAGGGTAACTCTTGACTCACTGTTGTTCAAGCACTCCCACACCGCACTTCAAAAAGCATGTACAACCCAAATATATCCGCCTGGTTCTACAGCAAAAGAGTGTGTTTTTATGTGCGTAGGTGCGATTGAGGGGGGCCCCTTCGGTTATTGCAGCCTTTTTTGGGGGGGGGGTAAACGGTAGAGGGCTTGTTATCTATGTTTCCGTATTGGTAAGTGTCCCGTTGGTGCCCCGCTTTATGGTTGAATAGCTGTGACGCTCTCTGCCGATAACTTTTGCTCTGCAGGGCTGCTCGTGGTCGGTGATATTTGTGGATCTGGACGCCCACAACAGGAACCGGCAGACCCTCTCCTCCTTACTGCCCCGAGAGTCTCGCTCACATGTGAGTCCGTTTATGCAACTACTTAACAAACGACTGAAAACACAAGCATATGACAAGGTTAAAAAAAAACGTGTGAATTTACTTCGTTGACCTGCACAGTTGCGCGTATTGTCGCCACCTGTTACTTCTTTGTCCTCCTCTTTTGTCTCAGAGGTGGAGCTGTACTCTGCTCACATACTCTTCTAGTTCCCCTCTTGGTGCAGTCATTACGCTGACTCTAAATGTGCTATTGATGGTTCAATCTTGATAAGAGATTGGTAAAGGTAAAGGTGGCTGCAGAGCTCGAGGGAGGTACAGTTGAAAAAGCAAGGGGAGGTAAATAGAGAAAAGAGGAAGAGCAAAGCCATTTCCTTCTCTACACTCCACTGCTTGCAGACACTTACATGATCACATCTCTCCCTTTGTGTGCTGAATGTGTCGCGCGCGACACTGTGCCGTCTGAGCTCGCGAGTTAATGAGTGCAATTAGACAACGAGAGGCCTTTTAGCTGCATGGGATTAACGTTGAGTAGAGAAAGACGGAGTGCAGTAAAAAGCGAGAGACCGAGAGGATAATGTCAAGCTAACCAAACTATAAATATCATATGAGTACAGCGTGCACTATGGAAAAAGATTGGAATTCGATATAAAATTCAATACCTGCACTGTGCTCTGCAAGCTGATGCCCGCATTTCAGCTGCAGCTGCTGAGGATGTCAACATGTAAACTGGAGTTTTAACAAGAAGTCGGAGAGGTAAAGAGAGAGAGAATTACAACGCAAAACGAAACATGGACATCAAACAGTCGACTACATTTTGTACTTTAATCTATTCACGGAGCTGGTTGAGTATGCACAGAATGTAGAAAACAAATCTTTTACTTCTGGAAGCTCTTTGATCTATTAATGAACCTAAAATATTCCTAGCGGTTTGCATGCAAGGCTGAAGTCTAATAGCTTTCATTTTTACAGCAAAATAGAGTAAACCGAGCAAAAACAAAATTGAAGTTAGATAACCAGTAATCATGGTTTGCGAAGCCTAATAACAATATTCATCCATAATAATTGTTGTAGTCTAGACGGTCCTTGATGGAAAACAAGCCTGCAGTGGAGTTTATTCATAACTCGGACAATTGTCTCCTGACCTGGTAAATGACATATACAGCTTTCTAGTATAGGACACAAAACGTGCTGGTTAAATAGTATTTGCTGATAGGATTTAATTCTAATGGCCAATTAAAAAAAAAAATAGATGTTATCACTGGTGTCTATAATTAAAATGTAGATAATGGTAAATGACATTTGACATATGGAAACGATTTTCTTGTAATTCTCCCTGGAAATATAAATAAAAACGTATATTGAAGGTGTTGTGGTAAATCTTCTAACCCTGGCAGAACACCGATGCAGCCTTGCTTCCAACCATCAGCTATCCTGCCTTTGCAGTAGATGACGATGCCCTCTACAGTCAGACACTGGACAAGATTGTTCGCAAACTGCGGGGCAAATACGGCTTCAAGCGTTTCCTCCGCGATGGCTACCGCACCGCCAACGAAGACAAGGACCGGCGCTTCTACAAACCTGCTGAGATGAAGGTCCGTGGTGGTGGTGCGAAATTATTTGTTTATCCGTGTTTTTTTATTTCACAGATTTTTCCATATTTCCTTGCAAATTCCTCCAATTTTTAATTTTAGATACTTTGCCTGCCAGACCTGGATTGTTGAGAAGCAATTCTTACACGTCCAACATTTTATCGTATCATATCAAAAAAGACACAAATATTATTCACTCTCTTCTAGCTCCACGTACAGCTGACTGTCATCAGCATAGCAGTTGAAATTAATATTCTGTTGTTCACTACAACAAAAGCTTCAGAAACATTGCAAGCAAACTGATATTTCAGGGTTTGTCAACCAGATAATGAGCAATATAATGTTTAAGTGAGGTCATTTCAGCCAACCAGACGTTAATGCAGCCAGAAAGGCAGAGTGCGAATGGCTTCCAGCGCCTGACGACTGAAAAAGTTCAACTTGAAAGCGGCCGAGTGTGACATTTGAAAAGTTTTTGAAGTGTTTAAGCCTCTAAAGGTTTTACCCTTTTCTGCTAACGCTCAGAAATCTGCCTGTGACTCAGCCGCTACCGTTTCGAGTGTTTTAATCCTCCAGGTGTTTCAACCCCCATTCTCGGTGTGTTTGTGCATGTGGGTGCGGGTGACCGTGGCTGTGCTCATGCATATATATATATGTATGTGAGCGACAGTGAGTTCATTGTGCTCCTCTGACTCCCCCGTGATCCCCGTCGAAATGGTGGCCGATTCACTTTAGAATCAGCGCCGTGTACAATGAGTGAATCAGCAGCTAAGGGCACTGGCTGCAGAACGAACCTCCCAGAGTGAATAAATCCAGCGAGAGAGTTACAGAATAAGTCCAGCGAGAACGTGTTGAAACAATAACGTGTTACCTTTCAGGTAACACGTTATTGTTTCCATGACAAAGAAAAAGGCTGGTAAATCGTTTACAAAGTAGCTTTACACATGAATCCCAGTTCAGCCGTGATCTTCGGCCTTGTGGCTCGTGATGTACTGCGGGACACCAGATTGCTGCTCGTGGCTCTCGCAGCTGCTCTTCTGCTCTGTGGAAAATTACATTACTTTTGGCTGTTCACATCGTGAACGGGTTCAAGTTTTGAGACAAAAACACAGATAATTCCCTATTAGCAACCTTTTGATCACAAAGTACTGAAACATGTGCTGCTTTATATTCAGTTTCACTCTAAATCTAGAATTTACAAAAAAAACAAACACCATGCTTTGTTGAACAAGAATTGAAACCTGTGATTGAGATCACAAACTCTTGTTTACAATGTCTACTGAGGAAATAAACCAAGTGAAAAGTCATTTCTGGGACTTCTTTTCACTTGGTCACCCTGCATGTTTACTTTTAACCCCTCAGGTTGCCTGGCTGAGGATGTTCAAACCGTATTTATGCCTTGGTTCCTTCAGGCTTGTTGCTGCCCGCAGTTCTTCCAGCAGGCACGCTGCACATTTACTGTGGCAGATAATGCCAGTTGAGTTCCGTATTATAAACTCCTCATCGCTCCTGCTGTCATTTATTTTCCGCCACATCAGCAGACAGTGCAGGTATTACTAATAAAGTTGCATGAGAGGAAGCGTGCCCGGCGGTGAGATTACACGACGCAGATTACCATTTTCACAGTGACAAACAATGAGGCAAACCTCCTACGTCCCTTCACGCGCACTTATCAGTTCAAGAGGTGTATCGACATTAGAAACACAATGGGACACACGGGACCTCCTCTGAATGATGAGTATAAACCCACAGATTCATGACATGAAGCCGGTGTGTGCGCTCTGTGGCTCACAGGTAGACCAGCAGAGGACACGGAGTGAAGGTGTTGTTGGTGTTTAAGAGGGAATTCACAGCAGGGCAGGCGTCTGCGCTCCCTGTCTGTTTACCATTGACGGAGAGCAGCAGCCTGTGTGATAGACAGTTTCGACAATCAGTCGAGCTGCTCAAGCACAAAACCCCAGGGATCCCTGCTTGTTTACAGCCTCAACGGGCCGAAAAGCACAGGCCTCTCTGGGCGACTGCCTTGGCTCTCCCCCTCCCTCCGAACGAAGCCTCCTCTGCTCCTGTTTCTCTTCATGCACCTTCTTTTCTTTTCCTCATCGCTCTCAGACACCGATAGCTTTTAATTGCGTCTCATCTCTTGACAAATGCACAGTTCGAAGCCCCACATTCCTGCATCATCAGCGGGTGCAGACATTAAAGAAGCACGTTCTAAGCCCACACGTAGCAGGACCCCATTGGTGAACCGCAGCCTTATTGCAACCAATGAGGCTGCAGTTCACTTAAATGTTTTGGCTGCACGTGTGTCGTTACCCGGTGCTGGTTTTTGTGTAATTGAGTGACACTACTCACACAAGTCATGTGAGGTGCACAATGGGATTAGGGAGTCAGATTCCCGAGAATGAACCAACTAATGATGTGCTTCGCGTTAATCCAAGTGTTTGTTCCGGAAGATTTCCTTTAGCTGCTGCCGCACGCTGGCTTTTACTTCGCTTTGTTCTGTTGACTAAAAACATCCCGACGGTCGCCCAGTCACGCTAACACTCGCCCATATTGATCAGGCAGTCAATCAATCGGTCAGCCGGGACTTGCAGAGTTTATTAGTCAGAGGTTTTCATCAAATTAAAAGCCTGAATGAATGAATGGGGAGACGTAACAAATACACATGTCTCCACGGCGAATGGTTTGGTGACTATCGAAACGATGCAAGTCGTAAACTGATGTCTTTGTATTCAGCGCCGCTCATTTGGGGATTTGGGAGTATTTTGCACAACCTAAAAAAAATGCGAAATGCGTTTATTTAAATAACAAAGTATTACATTTTCTGTACTGTAATGGGGAGTTGTGTCTAACTACACAATTCCAATGTTCCTTTCCTGTTTCTACTAATTCTTTATGAAAACATTGGACCAGTTGCAGTCTTGATTAATAAAACCTGTTACCTATAAACCTCCAGATCAAGCTCTTCTCTCAGTGCTCTTTGTCACAGTATTATGAACTTTCCTAACGCCTAATGACCCCCTCAAAACAAACGTTCACGGCTTCAAATGAAATAAAAGGGCCGTGGTAGGAAGCTAGATTATTTGTGTTGTGTGAGTGTTTATTTTCCCTTCTGTTCCACACTCGGCGCTACTAAAGTTGAGCCATCCGCTGCTTTAAAGTCGCTGTGCCCGTCTCCTCTTTCCGATGTGGAAAAGTAACGATTCCCGCTCTCTGTCTCCCTCCAGCTCTTTGATGGGATCGAGTGCGAGTTTCCCATATTTTTCATCTACATGATGATTGACGGTAAGCCTTGTTCTATCCATAGGCGATGTTATGATGCCTGGAGTGGGTCATTGGGACGATGGAAGACAGAAGCATATGACAGGAAATATTTTTGGTGTTTGCCGACTTTTAGAGGACTTCGAAACACTTAAAAGAAATATGTGATTTGTTAAATCTGTCAATAAACCAAAGGGAATGGTCAGAAATTAAGTAGATTTTCTCCCAGTAATGTGCATTTTGTCATTATTAAACTACCCTCCTGTCGGTTTAGTCTCCACTGACGTCTGTAGGACAAAGGGGGAAAAAACATAATACATCATAAATAGCATAACATAAATGATCTATAGAAAGAGCAAAAAGACAGTAGAGAGAAGCCAGATCTCAGATACATTTTACATTCAGATTTATTTAGCATCTTTCAGTGTACTGTCTTATCTGACGTATCCAGACAATACAAAAAGTGTAATAATACATTTTCAATTACTATCATTTTGTGTGCCTTTGTGTATTTGTTTGTCTTGCAGGGGTGTTCAGAGGAAATAGTGCTCAGGTCAAAGAATACCAAGACCTCCTTCAACCCATCATCTTCCAGTCTTATGAGGGTGAGCCGTCACATTAACAGACGCACATACAGAAATGCAGCGAGCGATGGATCAAGGTGAACTAAGAATGCTCAAACCCACAGACACAAGTGTTTTTCCACATCTATGTGGTTTGTTTTCGAGCTTCTGCTCTCTCCCTCCTGCAGTGAAGAATTTTCTTTTAAAATTAAATCACATCGTCCATCTTCAAATCCCAGATACCATGAACGAGGCTCACAGGGGCTTTTATATTCACTTGTCCCACTGTTTTGTGGGAGACAGTCGAATAATAGTGATCTCAAGAGTCTCCATTGGTCCGTTGTTAATAGCAAAGGAATAATTGGACAAAAAGGATAATGATGTGAGACAGAGCAGACGGACATCTCCACAGAGCCTTTGTGCTGGTTATTTATGGGTTAACAGAACTCCTCTAGTTAATTGGCTGGATTTTAATGGATAACACGAGGGTCCTTTATTTTCCTCCTCCACCATTAAGAAGTCTAAACCCACAAAATGCACCCGCGGCTGTCAGAAGCTGCCGTTGTGCTCTGCTGTCAGTACGCTGGACCTCCCGGCAGTCACGGTCTCCCATGGTTCCAATGATGCACAGACGTGTGCAGCTCTGGGAGACCTGCCGCTGCACTGCGGCAATCGGGCAGCATTTGCACCAGTTGTGCCGTCCTTTGACTTGATTTCTCTGAAGTGGTTTTGATTCATATCGGCCCACACATATGTTTTGGAGGACAAAGAGCAGCTTAGGTTGTGTACATTTAGCATGTTGCTGCACTTACTGCTTGTACCCTCAGGTGTATGATTATAGACTTGAAGAAACTAAATGTACTTCAGGATTTCTCAGGTGGAACCTTCACTACATTTTACTTCATTATTCAGCCTAACATGGGGATAATTCCTCTTTTCTTGTGCCACCATCAAGAACAAATGATATAGTGTGTCCAAAGAACAGATACATTCCCATCAGTTGGATTAAATAATTAGCACATTTTTGTTTAGTTTTTCCTGATTGTCCAAAGAACAACCCCCGCTCCCTGCAGTCCTCGTGGTTGATAACTTTTCTCTGTGCTCTGTGCACGTTGAAAGGCAAGTTTATTTGTCGGGCGCATTTCAACAACAAGGCAATTCAAAGTGCTTCACATAAACCATTAAGAGCAGCGTTGTAGAAGATGGAGACGATGTACACGGACCAACTAGGACATAATCCCTCATTGGCTTTCCACCCTCCCTGCCGGGTGCGTTGGCCACAATGTTGAACCTGTGTCTCTGCAGTGGTGGGCAAGTGAATGCTGTTGAATGGCACATTTGTTTTATTCCAAGCAATCAGGTTCGCCTTTGTTCCGCTCCAGTTGTTCAGCAGCTGGCCCCATTACACACCTGTGAAAACGCACATTACGTACATATATGTTACACACACTGTTCTTCTACCTCTGTGTGGATTATTTTTATGTAGTAGGTAAATAATGAAAATCAGAGCTGGTTTAATAGCCCGTCCGTCCATCTGTCGGCAAACCGCTTATCCTGAACACAGGGGAGGCTGGAGTCTATCCCAGCTGAGAGACGGGGTACATCCTGGACTGCTCGCCAGCCAATCGCAGGGCTACACAGAGACACACAACCATTCACACACCTACCGGCAATTTAGAGTCCCCAGTTAACCTGATCCCCAGAGCATGTCTTTGGACTGAGGGAGAAAGCCGGAGAACCCGGAGAGAACCCACGCAGACACGGGGAGAACATGCAGACTTCACACAGAAAGGCCACTGGGCGGAATCGAACCCAGGACCTTCTTGCTGTGAGGCGACAGTGTTAACCACCACGCCACCGTGCCGCCCCGGGTTAAATAGCCCGTTTAAGTTTAAATTAAAAAACTCAGAAAATAAAAGAAGATTGGAGGCATAAAAGCCTCTATTGAACAGAGCGCCAAGTGGTTTACTCGTGTGTGTGTGTGTGTGTGTGTGTGTGTGTGTGTGTGTGAGTGTTTGCGCGCAGCACGTGAACGGGTTCCTCATCAGTTGAAAATTGATAAGAGATTGGTAAAGGTAAAGGTGGCTGCAGAGCTCGAGGGAGGGAGTTACAAATAAATACAATGCATTATTATTGTGCTGATCGTATTTCATTCAAACACTCACGCAACACTTGTCCGGAGAAAGCGCACATAAGCGCTCACAGTCCTCCTCTCCCATGCCAGGCCATGCTGTGATCCCCAAATACTACTACGTACCGGCTGACTTCGTGGAGGCAGAGCAGAACAAGCATGGAAGCCAGAAGCGTTTCCCTAGCAACTCTGGCCGCGATGGGATGGTCTTCCTGTGTGGTCAGGCGCTCTACAACATCGCCAAGCTGCTGGGTACGACGCTCACATGACACGCGTGCCGATTCTGTTCATTCCAATATCGGTCAACCGGTCCAGAAATACTAACACATCAAGCCATATTTGATGAGATGTATTAACTATTTAACCATTATTATCGATTGCCTGATGTTTTTATGTGTTGCTTGAATCTTTACTGACATTATTCCAAAGATGCAGTTTGACTACATTGTGAGTGTAAATTAAGGAAAATATATTTCTTTATATTTTTTGTCCTTTTTTCACCCCTGCGTCTATGTAGGTGTGTGTACTAATGTGTCTGCCTTGGTGTGTGGGTTTGTGCAGTGGATGAGCTGATCAGCCCTAAAGATATCGACCCCATCCACCGCTACGTCCCCCGCCAGGACCAGCGCAACGTCACCATGCGATACTCCAACCAGGTAAGCTGGGATGTGACTGATTGTCACTCGTTTAACACTTACTTCACCATTTTTCATCGTGGACAGTCATTTATAGGGAAACTGCTCGTTGTTGCTGCACTCTTTCTTGTCGATGTGACTTATAGGGGAAGTTAAGCGCTTCCAGCGTACAATAACAATGAAATACACTCATTAAAAAAAAAAAAAAAAATCAACTTGCGAGTTTGATCAATTTTAGAAGTCAAGTAGCACTTAGTGCTTCAGGTTGTAGAGGCAGTGAGTGGGCAGACTGCCCACTCACAGTGTGAAAAACATTCTATGTCATTTAAACGGTCTATCCGAGGAAGACAACTTGCAGGGATAATAACATATATGATAAGTTGTGAAGTCTGAGTTGAGAGTTTTTTCTTAATCCAACTCCATCTTTTTTGCACTTGTACTTCACTCTCACAAAGAGAAATATCACTGATTGCTCTAACAATCTGTACACAATCAGCCTCTCCTAATGTGTATCGCCGAGTTCTCTGTCATGATTCCAATCTGCAGCCAGATGTTCCTTAATTCCTGCACCTGTGATGCAGATGTCTGTTTGTTGTTCTGAATTTACCGGGATCGACTCCAGGTTATAGAAGGTGGATGAAGGCGGATGAGAACAATGCAACGAGCTCACTTTCATACACGTTCGATACGTGAGTGAGTGGTGATTCCTCCGGGAATACAAACATTCTAGTTTGTCTCCAGAAAACTAAACCTCAATGAAAATCGATAAAATAATATGTATGAAATATCTCACTCTTGCTTCAGTGTGATTCCCCACTGTGACTGCGTGTAGTGTGACGCTACACAAATCATATCAAGATACCTTCTCTTCTCCTTTGTAAGGTTACTGAATACGCGACGACTTCAATTCATTCTTTTTAATACCATATTGCATTTCTTCCAATAGAACCCCCTTTATCGTTCCTTTATTTCAATAATTCATCCTAAACAGCAGAAACACTCCTTTTTTTTTTTACCCTGCCAGGGGTCAGTCTTGCAGACAGCGATGGAGCCGGTTGGTGTGCTCTGAGCTGCCTCTCTGCATGGCGATCATGTCTGAGGTGTCTCCCAATGCTGAGACCGCCGGCAGCTCAGCGGATGCCACAGACAAAGGGTAGAGATACAGTGAGGATTGATAAGTCCCAATCGGCCCCCGTATGTGGAATTTAGTTCTCAGTGCTAGAACAAGGCCAATAAGGGACGGGAGGTCCAGGGAGGTATTACCAATGCCAGACTGAATCAAATAGGTTACAGCAAGACGGAACAGCATGAAAGAACAAAGACAGAGAGAAACAAACATAACCAGCCAGAGATGGAACAGAGCATGTCAGCGATTTGTCTAAAAGAGGTACGATTGTCATTATTTAACTCTCTAAGGTTGGGTATACTAACATTCTTTAATACAGGAAGGTCACACAACTCTGTACAAGGCTAGAGTAGTGGGTTTTTTCACTTCAGTGTTTTGACATTTATCCTTTGTGCAAAGACATTTTCATCCTGGCTTTTGCTGTGCTGACTTATTGTAAAATAGTCCAAAAGAAATGGTTTCATTTCCTGCATGTCCAGAACCCACGAGGAAAGCAATTTTTGAGTTTCGTCCAAATCAGTATTTCAGCGTAATTAGATATTTTTACGAATTATCACCAAATTTGGAAAATAAAATCTCTGGGTTGTGCCAGAAAAAATGTAAATTCAAATCTAAATGTGATATTCCACACAGATTCCTGCCCTGGGCAGGATTTAAATAATAAAAAAAGAAGGATGAATGCTTTGTGCTAATGCAGCGACATTAGGTGGATGTGTAGGTGCCATTCGGTCGAGGCAGCGATGTAACAGTCGACTGCAGCTCACTTCTGCTGCTGAATCCGCCCGATCAAGTCAAAACTAAGCCATAAGGAGCATGGTGATTAGTCAATGGCGACTATCAAACACTAGTATTGCCTAAACACTGTGAAAATAAGTTGTGAACAAAACCATCATCCTCTATGATGTTACTTAGTGTTTATCCATCTGCAGTTTGTACACCGGGCTTTTAGTTTTGCTGAAAACAGCTGCGTGCTGTTGATATAAGAATGTATCAATTACAGCCAAGAATTGCGTGTGATAACCACGGAGAAAATACCGATTTGTAGTGCTGGAGTGCTGTGCATGACCCTTTTAAAGACATGATGAGGAAACAAGTTGAGATGGAAGTCATTCACGGGCACCATGATTAGAAAGAAAGGCTTTGTGTCAAACACAGGTGGGCCGTGTTTGAGAGAAAAATCTGACAATTTGAAAAATCACCTTTGGGTTTTCAAGCAGTAGAGCCTGAATGCTGAAGTGGGGCATGATTTTTTCCCCCACAACACGTGAATGCTGTGAACAAACAGACTTTCAGTCTCAGAGCGTACGTGTAGCGTGACCCCAGCCGGGAGAGAGCTTATTTATGTGGCTGTTGCCAAGCTGAGTGCCCTACAGGGTCAAACAGTCACATAAATTGCAAATGCAATTCTTAATTCTTGCTATCCTGTGCTGTTTCTTTCACCTCCTCCACCCCGTTATTATTATTTCTCCTTTTTTTTATGCACCACCATTTCTCTTTGTGTTTTTGTCTTTTCTCTTCTTTTCCCTTTTCCGTACTTGAGATTGGCTGGAAGAAAGGAAAGTGAAAGAGGAGGATTTGTGTTCGCTTCAGTTTACTGTGAATGAATGCTTTGTAGATGTTTTTGCGTGTGCGTGAGTGTGTGTGTGTGTGTGTGTGTGTGTGTGTGTGTGTACACCAGCTGTCTTGTTGCCTCTGCATCATTGACGTCCAGTGTTTGGTCTGCGGGCAGGAAAGGCACACGGCCACGCTGGGCCTTCACATGTAGTTAAGGCTTGATTTGTGCGCTCCCCTTTCCTCTTTTGCACGAGTGTGTAATTTGCTTACTTGCTTTTTGTGGATCCAAATGAGAAAAACATGAAAAAGGTATGTGTTGTTATGAGCCTGCTTGCCATCTTGGCTTGTAACTCTCTGTCTTTATGTGTTGAAGATGCAGGTTTGGCTTTCTGAAGTTGACGTTATTTTTATGCTACAACTTGGTGTCCAGGCATCAATTCATACAGCTGGAGACAAAGAAATGCTCTCCAATATTAAACCCATGAACAGCTTGAATTATTGTGCTGTCTTCTTCCACCTGTAGGCTTATGTGAGGTCATTTCTGGGTACTTTGACCTCAGCGCTGTCATTCAGCTCGGAGATGATAAATAGTTATTGCAGGATGTTTGACAATATCTATAATACTCCGTTTCAACAGATTCCTTTTCAATCAGCAGTTTCGCCACTACATTAAGAATTGAGTGGAAGCTGCAAAGAGAAGGACATGTTTGTGAATACAAATCACCCCTTTTATTTCCTGACTAGCACTGCTTGCATCTTGATCCCAGTCCCCCATTCAGCCTGTGGCTCCAACGCCCTGCGGATAAAGGGCCTCCGATGTGTTCAGCTCACCTGGCAACACATTTCTTGCACTAGCCTGAGAAGCATGTATTAAAGATGTGCACGGCGCAGTCTCTTTTTCTTTTTTTTTTCATAGCGCATATATATAGTACATTGGTAGGGCACCAGGAATTAAATGTGCATCATGTGTGCATCACAGCGGGAAGGGAACGTAGTCTTGCCTGAAACATCATTTGGAGGATGGGAGAGGTGGGATTTGGTTGGTGAATGGGGCGTTAATGCAACTTTAATGCGTCTTTGAGCTTGATGTTCAGGAAGCTTTTACTACAAGTAATGAACTGCAAGCCTGTTAAATATATTATGAAGCTATACAATTAAATATGCATGGAAGCCATGTGGCAAACTGTGAAAAATCAGAAAAAGTGTGTTTCCACAGTGCTGCTGTGCTCTTATAATAGGGATAAATGTTTTTTGGAGCTTGACCCTGTGGATAAGCGCAGCTTTTGATGATATTAAGTGGTCGACTATCTTTTTTTGGTCTGCATGAGAGACCCGGTGCTGTGAGAGTGTGTCAGATCAAATGCACCCCGGGGAGCGCGGCGTGAGATCCCACTGACAAACATGCAATAACACGCAGCGGGCGCAGCAAGCGGGGGATCAGAGGAGTCATGAACGGCTGTGATAGTGAATTAGTTGCTTATGTTGCATTTGTCACACACTTTATTTTAGTAATATACCCTTAATCTACTGTGCGTGCTGTTGAGCCATGCTCGCAGAGCCCCGTTCTCGCGGTCTGTCTCCTCTTTCTTCCCCATTTGCTTTCTACTTGTGTGTGAATTCAGCAACACACATGCAGCGACGCAGCACACAAGAAGGAAAACACGTATCGCTCAACTCCGAAGGAACACTTGGCTTCGGTCAGATTTCTTTTTCATTCACAAGCATCTCGCTCTATGTTGAAGGTTAATGGAAAAGTTGCGTCGGGTCCACACTGCTGCAGGCGTCATTCATAGATCAGATAAGGTGCGGGTCAAGAGGGGGAACAAACATTCAGGGATGGAAGGGTAAAGAGGAGAACATCAGCGAGGTATGTAAGGCCGAGGTATACAGGAGGGAGGAGAGCGATGGACGAGGAGCTTTTTCTGAAACATTGCATTTGATGTTATGCCACTTTTTATCAAGTATGACATTTCTTTTAATAGAGTATGTAATATATGTATTAGAATACAGAAAATAATTGAACTCCAATTGTTCAAGAACAATCTTGTTTTCAGTCACCCGCCTGGTCTCTGGTGGTAATTTATAGTGAATTAGTGGTTGACGGCGTTGGGTACTTTTCTCTCCTATATCTTAAGTGTATACATTTATAGAATCTAATCTCATTTTCTATGCAATTTTTTTGCAAAGAATAATTTTACACAACTGCCTGGTTAAAGATGAACAAATGTTTAGACTGACACACAGATTATTGAAAATAGAAAGACTCTGTAGGTGGAAATCTTTTTTGACACAGTATTTTTACAACAAATTTACTAGAAATATAAAGCACTGAAATTCTTAT